CATCTTCAATAATATTAATCAAAAGTGTCATATATAACAGCGTGTAATTGTGTCAAATTTGAAAAAAAATAATAAAATTGAAATTGTGCGGTATTTTTTGGTCTTTTTTTTAAATTGTGTAGGGGTATTATGAAATTTTTGCGGCACAAGTTCGTTTAATTCAGTTTTAAAAAAATTTTTATGAAAATGTTTAAATTGTTGAGACACTGAAGTTAAATAATAAATTTCGTTATAAGTAGATCAGTCTATAGTCCAGACTATAGATCAGTTTATAGTTAAGACTATAGACCGGTCTATAGTAAAGACTGTATATCAACATATAGTCAATACTATAAATCAGTCTATATTCAAGACCATAGAACAGTCTGTAGTCAAGGCTATGGATCAGTCTATAGTCAAGACTATAGATCAGTCTATTGTCAAGACTATAGATCAGTCTTTAGTCAAGACTATAGATCAGTCTATAGTCCAGACTATAGATCAGTCTATAGTCCAGACTATAGATCAGTCTATAGTCAAGACTTTAGATCAATCTATTGTCAAGACTATAGATCAGTCTATAGTCAAAACTATAGATAAGTCTATAGTCAATACTATAGATCAGTCTATCGTCAAAACTACAGATCAGTCTATAGTCAAGACTATGATTAGTCTATAGTCAAGACTATAGATCAGTCTATAGTCAAGACTATAGATCAATATATAGTCAAGACTATAGATCACAGTCTATAGTCAAGACTATGATTAGTCTATAGTCAAGACTATAGATCAGTCTATAGTCAAGACTAAAGATCAGTCTATAGTCAAGACTATAGATCAGTCTATAGTCAAGACTATAGATCAGTCTATAGTCAAGACTATAGATCAGTCTATAGTCAAGACTATAGATCAGTCTATAGTCAAGACTATAGATCAGTCTATAGTCAAGACTATAGATCAGTCTATAGTCAAAACTATAGATAAGTCTATAGTCAATACTATAGATCAGTCTATCGTCAAAACTACAGATCAGTCTATAGTCAAGACTATGATTAGTCTATAGTCAAGACTATAGATCAGTCTATAGTCAAGACTATAGATCAATATATAGTCAAGACTATAGATCACAGTCTATAGTCAAGACTATAGATCAGTCTATAGTCAAGACTATAGATCTGTCTATAGTGAAGACTATAGATCAGTCTATAGTCAAGACTATAGATCAGTCTATAGTCAAGACTATAGATCAGTCTATAGTCAAGACTATAGATCAATATATAGTCAAGACTATAGATCAATATATAGTCAAGACTATAGATCACAGTCTATAGTCAAGACTATAGATCAGTCTATAGTCAAGACTATGATTAGTCTATAGTCAAGACTATGATTAGTCTATAGTCAAGACTATAGATCAGTCTATAGTCAAGACTAAAGATCAGTCTATAGTCAAGACTATAGATCAGTCTGTAGTCAAGACTATAGATCAGTCTATAGTCAAGACTATAGATCAGTCTATAGTCAAGACTATAGATCAGTCTATAGTCAAGACTATAGATCAGTCTATAGTCAAGACTATAGATCAGTCTATAGTCAAGACTATAGATCAGTCTATAGTCAAGACTATAGATCAGTCTATAGTCAAGACTATAGATCAGTCTATAGTCAAGACTATAGATCAGTCTATAGTCAAGACTATAGATCAGTCTATAGTCAAAACTATAGATCAATCTATTGTCAAAACTATAGGTCAGTCTATAGTCAAGACTATAGATCAGTCTATAGTCAAGACTATGATTAGTCTATAGTCAAGACTATGATTAGTCTATAGTCAAGACTATAGATCAGTCTATAGTCAAGACTAAAGATCAGTCTATAGTCAAGACTATAGATCAGTCTATAGTCAAGACTATAGATCAGTCTATAGTCAAGACTATAGATCAGTCTATAGTCAAGACTATAGATCAGTCTATAGTCAAGACTATAGATCAGTCTATAGTCAAGACTATAGATCAGTCTATAGTCAAGACTATAGATCAGTCTATAGTCAAGACTATAGATCAGTCTATAGTCAAGACTATAGATCAGTCTATAGTCAAGACTATAGATCAGTCTATAGTCAAGACTATAGATCAGTCTATAGTCAAAACTATAGATCAATCTATTGTCAAAACTATAGGTCAGTCTATAGTCAAAACTATAGATCAGTCTATAGTCAAGACTATAGAAATGTTTGATTTTCTGTTTTTAATGAAAATTTCAAATATTTTCCATAATAGTGTTTACAACTGGGCGTTACCTGAGAGATTTCCCTTAAAAAATAAAACTTTAAAATGGAAATCAATTAGTACACTCATTATCTTAAATGTATAAAAACGGCTGTCAAAATTTTTTTAAATACAACTTATATTTTTCTCAAAAAGGTTTTGACCACACCCTTTAAAAACTTCTGATTACATTCTCCCAAGAATTTTCAAAACAAAGAACATAAATTGAGCCTGATGTTTAACAAAAATTCCAAAAAAGATTTCCTTAATAAATTTATACATATCTTGTAAAGAACACACAGTCAGCAAGCACTCCCAGCTTAAACATAAAAATCATGCTGTTTCCATAAAGGCCATTTCCATCAGTTGACACAACATAAATTTTAAAGAAAGAAAAAAAAAGTTAACAATCTTAAGTTGGATTAAATTTCAATATTTGCTTATGTTATTGCTAAAGATTTATAAAAAAATATTATTTGCAGAAACCACAAAGTTCATTGATTTAAAAAAAAAAAAAAAACGAAGAAAACTATTGATTCTTTTACATTTCCTGGCCATTAACATCATCATCTCAAATATAGACCAAACCACACTGTTATACATACATATGTTTAAAAACTAAGACAAGAGTTGGTGATATTAGAGACTAAATATATCGATTACAGTTCATTAACGGTTTGTTTTGGTTTTATTTTTTCCAATATTAATTTGAAAAACCGTCAACTGTCTGTCATATTTAAAAAGTTGTGTTTTGTATGTCATTACTGTGCGAAATCTTGACTTAAACATTTTCAAAGAAATCATTAATATAAATTTTGTTTTATAAAAAAACTATGATAATTATTTTCGATGTAATACAGACAACCAAAGATTTAATGATTAGGGTTTAGGGAAAAAAATTCTACCCTTAGGGATTTAAATGTTACATAAAAGTGTTGATGATTTCCTGAGAATATTAGGTAAAAAAATTACCTAAAAATCATTTGTCAAATTTAAGCCATTACGTCTTTGGAAATACAAAGATTAAAAACATTCTATAGATCAATTGTGACAACTGTATTTGGCAGTTAGGGGAATTAAACTAAGATTACGTGACAAAGATCGTAGACATTTTGTCATCTTTTCAAAATGTTTCAAATTTCTTAGTAATAATGTCCCATCAGTCTCGTCTTTAGATTAGTGGTGGATAAAATTAATTGGTACACGCTTGCTGAACTGAACTAGAACTGAACTAGAACTGAACTAGAACTGAACTAGAACTGAACTAGAACTGAACTAGAACTGAACTAGAACTGAACTAGAACTGAACTAGAACTGAACTAGAACTGAACTAGAACTGAACTAGAACTGAACTAGAACTGAACTAGAACTGAACTAGAACTGAACTAGAACTGAACTAGAACTGAACTGAACTAGAACTGAACTGAACTAGAACTGAACTAGAACTGAACTAGAACTGAACTAGAACTGAACTAGAACTGAACTAGAACTGAACTAGAACTGAACTAGAACTGAACTAGAACTGAACTAGAACTGAACTAGAACTGAACTAGAACTGAACTAGAACTGAACTAGAACTGAACTAGAACTGAACTAGAACTGAACTAGAACTGAACTAGAACTGAACTAGAACTGAACTAGAACTGAACTAGAACTGAACTAGAACTGAACTATAACTGAAACTAGAAAACAGAACTGAACTAGAACTGAACTAGAACTGAACTAGAACTGAACTAGAACTGAACTAGAACTGAACTAGAACTGAACTAGAAACTGAACTAGAACTGAACTAGAACTGAACTAGAACTGAACTAGAACTGAACTAGAACTGAACTAGAACTGAACTAGAACTGAACTAGAACTGAACTAGAACTGAACTAGAACTGAACTAGAACTGAACTAGAACTGAACTAGACTGAACTAGAAACTGAACTAGAACTGAACTAGAACTGAACTAGAACTGAACTAGAACTGAACTAGAACTGAACTAGAACTGAACTAGAACTGAACTAGAACTGAACTAGAACTGAACTAGAACTGAACTAGAACTGAACTAGAACAGAACTGAACTAGACTGAACTAGAACTGAACTAGAACTGAACTAGAACTGAACTAGAACTGAACTAGAACTGAACTAGAACTAGAACTAGAACTAGAACTGAACTAGAACTGAACTAGAACTGAACTAGAACTGAACTAGAACTGAACTAGAACTGAACTAGAACTGAACTAGAACTGAACTAGAACTGAACTAGAACTGAACTAGAACTGAACTAGAACTGAACTAGAACTGAACTAGAACTGACTAGAACTGAACTAGAACTGACACTAGAACTGAACTAGAACTGAACTAGAACTGAACTAGAACTGAACTAGAACTGAACTAGAACTGAACTAGAACTGAACTAGAACTGAACTAGAACTGAACTAGAACTGAACTAGAACTGAACTAGAACTAAACTACAACTGAACTAGAAATAACTAGAACTGAACTAGAACTGAACTAGAACTGAACTAGAACTGAACTAGAACTGAACTAGAACTGAACTAGAACTGAACTAGAACTGAACTAGAACTGAACTAGAACTGAACTAGAACTGAACTAGAACTGAACTAGAACTGAACTAGAACTGAACTAGAACTAATTTAGAACTAAACTAGAACTGAACTACACCATTTCGAATGGTACATATTTCTGAACTTTCTATTTGTATTGTATATACAGTAATTTTTAAATATTTTATAAACATTTTATTTAAATTGTTTTATTGAAAAATGTTATTCAGTGTTATATTTCTCATTATTTACTTTAAGTCCTGTTTTAAAGATTTCTTTCTCTTAAACCCTATAAATATTTAAAAAAATGTCCGCACATATAATTGTGTTTGTATTCTGAGCAGATAATATAAAATGACCCTTATATTCGCCAGCCATTCGAGGACTAGGAAAAATGAATATCATATCCGCTGTTGTATTAAATGTAAACTGTTGCTAAAATCAAAAATATATACATACATACATATATGTATATAGTAATGTAATTAGATGTTAAACATGAAAACTTACCCCACTATATAGAGGACATTTTCGTTGTACGATAGGTACACTGCTTGTAAATTTATACCATAATTCGGTGGGATCAAACATTGCTTTACAAAGGTCAGGACGTTTGAAATTGTATATACTATTAACCCAGGAACCCCGATCCTTTTTATAAAAATCCAGGTTTATCTTAAAGTTTAAAGAAATTATCAATTGTAATGCCTTTGAATCAGATATAGGCAAGGAGCTCCCATTGCTCTCCTGGTTTAAACAATTTTACTTGTAAGAGAGCTATTAAGAAAGCTCTTTGCATTTATCTGCCTTAAACTGTTTACGGTGAAGTCCATATATTGTAAAGGCAGCTTAAATAAAAATGTACCTTTAATATTGTGTTTTTCGGAAATGCATTAGTAATTTCTAATGTGCCCACAAAATTGATGTAACCATCTTCTAATATTTCAAACTTTAAATTGCTGGAATCAAAATAAATGTCTGGAAATTTTGTATTATTATTGTTACAAGACATAATCAACTCCTCATCTTGGACCACAAGTTCATATTTAAAATTGCTCTAAAATTAATTAATTATTATATGTTATTTTATTTTTTTTGATCCTTAAGACTTACCAGGGCGTAGGAAATTGTATGTAAAATTATAAATCCTTTAAATAAATTTTTTAAAATCATAGTTTTAATTGTTTGCGCGATTTCGATGGTATTTATTTGCATTGTGGAAATGCAAGTCAATTTATATTTTTAATAAAATTTATTTTTAAGATTTTTATCTTTCAAAACAATAAAAATAGTTTTATTACAAAATTAAATAAAAATTTCAAATTAAACAGCAATTAAAGATAGTAATCGTAAATGTGTTAAAGGTACACTACAGAGTGAATGGTATTAAAGGGAACAAACTATTGCTGTTCTAGTTCAATTCTAGTTCAGTTCTAATTCTAGTTCAGTTCTAGTTCAGTTCTAGTTCAGTTCTAGTTCAATTCTAGTTCAGTTCTAGTTCTAGTTCAGTTCTAGTTCAGTTCTAGTTCAGTTCTAGTTCAGTTCTAGTTCAGTTCTAGTTCAGTTCTAGTTCAGTTCTAGTTCAGTTCTAGTTCAGTTCTAGTTCAGTTCTAGTTCAGTTCTAGTTCAGTTCTAGTTCAGTTCTAGTTCAGTTCTAGTTCAGTTCTAGTTCAGTTCTAGTTCAGTTCTAGTTCAGTTCTAGTTCAGTTCTAGTTCAGTTCTAGTTCAGTTCTAGTTCAGTTCTAGTTCAGTTCTAGTTCAGTTCTAGTTCAGTTCTAGTTCAGTTCTAGTTCAGTTCTAGTTCAGTTCTAGTTCAGTTCTAGTTCAGTTCTAGTTCAGTTCTAGTTCAGTTCTAGTTCAGTTCTAGTTCAGTTCTAGTTCAGTTCTAGTTCAGTTCTAGTTCAGTTCTAGTTCAGTTCTAGTTCAGTTCTAGTTCAGTTCTAGTTCAGTTCTAGTTCAGTTCTAGTTCAGTTCTAGTTCAGTTCTAGTTCAGTTCTAGTTCAGTTCTAGTTCAGTTCTAGTTCAGTTCTAGTTCAGTTCTAGTTCTAGTTCAGTTCTAGTTCTAGTTCAGTCTGTCAGTTCTAGTTCAGTTCTAGTTCAGTCTAGTTCAGTTCTAGGTCAGTTCTAGTTCAGTCTAGTTAAGTTCTAGTTCAGTTCTAGTTCAGTTCTAGTTCAGTTCTAGTTCAGTCCTAGTTCAGTTCTAGTTCAGTTCTAGTTCAGTTCTAGTTCAGTTCTAGTTCAGTTCTAGTTCAGTTCTAGTTCAGTTCTAGTTCAGTTCTAGTTCAGTTCTAGTTCAGTTCTAGTTCAGTTCTAGTTCAGTTCTAGTTCAGTTCTAGTTCAGTTCTTATAGTTCAGTTCTAGTTCAGTTCTAGTTCAGTTCTAGTTCAGTTCTAGTTCAGTTCTAGTTCAGTTCTAGTTCAGTTCTAGTTCAGTTCTAGTTCAGTTCTAGTTCAGTTCGAGTTCAGTTCGAGTTCAGTTCTAGTTCAGTTCTAGTTCAGTTCTACTTCAGTTCTAGTTCAGTTCTAGTTCAGTTCGAGTTCAGTTCTAGTTCAGTTCTAGTTCAGTTCTAGTTCAGTTCGAGTTCAGTTCGAGTTTAGTTCGAGTTCAGTTCTAGTTCAGTTCTAGTTCAGTTCTACGTTCAGTTCTAGTTCAGTTCTAGTTCAGTTCTAGTTCAGTTCTAGTTCAGTTCTAGTTCAGTTCTAGTTCAGTTCTAGTTCAGTTCTAGTTCAGTTCTAGTTCAGTTCTAGTTCAGTTTTTAAAAAATATATTTAGTATTTTTTTCGATAATTGTCTTTCTATTAAAAAGAATTTTTTTGAAAATTTTCAAAATACTTTATCTCATAGAAAATCCTATGAATTCTTTTAAATCAAAATCCCTTTTTATAACAAATCTAAATATTTTGATTTTATTTATATTTTCTTAAAACCTTAAACAATATCAAAAGTACAAAAACAAACCGCCAAATGTCATGGATAATCTATTATAATTTTATGCTGTCAGTCATGTGTTAAACAATCAAAAACAGACAACAATATGTGGCATGCAACACTTTACAACATTTAAGGCGTGATCCACACATTTGTTTATAAGAATGAAAGCAAAACAATGTTCTAAAGAAAAGGTTTGTTTTTTCGTTCTGGGGCTTTTTAATAGGCCATACCCTATCAATTACTAAAGAATATTTCTTTTTGATAAGAATTTTTTTTTGTTCTTAACAAAAAGAACAATTTTCTTTTAATTCCCAAAATAAGATTTATTTCAATTTGTATCTGTTAAAGATCATGTCACCAATAAATCATGTAAATAAATGAAATAAATTTTTCATGTTAAATTTAATATAATACCCGTTTAATATTTCATTGTTGGAAAAAATAAATTTAATAAATGTAAACTGATAAGGGGGGAAAGGCCGACAAGGGTTTTGAAATGTTTATTGAAAAGAGTTAAGTTTTTTATAAATAACAGGCGCCTTAAAGTTTAAATTATTCCAATTGTAGTGGCAAACATTTTCTGATTTTTTTTAAATTTGATTAAGTTTTGGGGAAGTAATTTAATACAAAAAGAGTTAAGATTAAAATTAATCTAAGTTCCAGTTCTAAAGGATGAAAGCTTATGTAGTTTTAGAAAAAGAGCTAATTGTGTAACTAGAACTACAAGAGGAGCTTACAATTGGAGCTTATCTACTACAAAGAATGCTACGATTACAGCTTATATAGTACTAGAAAGAGATCTATATTCTATCTAATGTAGACCTATAAAAAGAGCTTTTGCTAAAAAGCTATAATAAAAGCTTTGGGAGGATTACAAAAAGAGCTTTGATTAAATTTTAAGTAAAACTACAAGTATTATTAGATTCAAAGCTTATTTAATACTACAAAGAAATGAACGATTAAAGCTAATGTGAGACTACAAAAAAGCTTTGACTAAAGCTTTTGGGACTGCTAACATACCTACCATTAAATAAATTAAAGTACTACAAAAAGAGCTTTGCTCAAAGATTATGTAGGACTACAATGAAAAGTAGTACAATGGAAGCTTATGTATGACTACATACAGAACATTGAATAAAGCTTTGTATGACTCAAAAGTAAGCAACGATTAAAGCTAACATAGAACTATAACGAAAGTTATAATTGAAGCTTATTTAGAACTGCAAAGAAAGCTTATGTATAACTACAACGAGAGCTACTATTGAAACTTTTATAGAACTACAAAAAAAGCTGCTATTAAAGCTTAAAATGGTCTACACAAAGAGCTTTTATTAAAGCTTTTGTATGACTTTGTATGACTACAAACAGTACATTGAATAAAGCTTTGTATGACTCAAAAGTAAGCAACAATTAAAGGTAACATAGAACTATAACGAAAGCTACAATTGTAGCTTATTTAGAAATGCAAAGAAAGTTTAAATTAAAGCTTATGTATAACTACAACGCGAGCTACTATTGACACTTGTATAGAACTACATACAAAGAAAGCTGCAATTAAAGCTTAAAATGGTCTACACAAAGAGCTTTTATTTAAGCTTTTGTATGCCTAAATTATAATTGAAACATAACTTATTGAAACTTTTATAGAACTACAAAGAAAGCTGCAATTAAAGAGCTTTTATTATAGCTTTTGTAGGACTAAATTAAAGTTATTTTTAAGGCTTATATAGATAGAACTACAGACGGAGCTACAAACGAAGCTTTAGAAAAAAAAGTTTTCCTCAGGTATAAAACCAATATTATTTGTTTGGCCCGCCTTAAAAATGTTTTACATAGATTCAATTAGGCCTAAGGAAAGCTTTGTAAAATTAGAAATTTCAACAAGACGTTGAAAATTAACTTTATGAAGAGGAGTTTCCAGATTTCTAGTAAAGTTTAAGTTAACATGGCCCGCCTCAAAATTTTGTTTAATTTAAAGTCTTAAAAGCTTCAACAAGTAGCTAATGAAAAAAAAAAATATTCTTTTTTTATATAATTTTTAAAAAATTCTTTAAACTAGAAAAATCGCTACACAAGTTTTATTTTAAACTAAAATTTGTTTATTTCTTTGTTATAAAACATTTGTTTTGCTTTTATATCAAATTAACAACATCAAATTACATTTTACAAATAAAGTCATTAACATCAAAGAAACAGAGCTGAGTTGGGTAATACTAGACTCGATGAATGAAATCACTGTACTTTAACGACATTGCTTAGAAAAAAAAAACAATAAGGGTATTCACTTTATAAATCTTTAATAAAACACAAAATTTTGATAATTTTGTAAAAATCGTACAAAATCTAAGAATAGCCTTAATATAGTATTTACGTTGTCTTTTTAATTTTCATTAACTTAAACAATATTTAAAGTACTTTTTTTGGAATTTTCTTTCAACAAAAAAATTATCATTTATTAAGGAATTAAATTACAGACCTTTGTTGATATTTAAAAAAAAAATGTCGTTGTTAAACGAGTAACCAAGCATAACTAATTAATATTCGATTAAATAATTTTTGTTTGTAATAAGTGGATATGGAGGTACTTTTTTTTCAAAATTTTTATGTTTTTGTTTTAATCTGATAAAAATTTTCAATTTGGCTAAACAAACATGATTTTCGAAGAATTTTTTTGAATGTTTTTTTTGTTTTTTCTTTATTTTTATAAACAAGTATTTGTCTGTTTGAATTTGCATTTAGTTTGAGACGTTGTGGATATAAAAAAAGACGTTGTATAATTGAAACTTGACCTTCACTTAGATAGTGGGTACTTGTTTGTCAGTCAGGTGTTTATAAAAATGTTTTAAGATCTTAGGAAGTCATTTATGTAAATAGCTTTAATAAAAGTTAATTTAAAAGATTATTAAGATTTTTATTCGTCAGTTGTTGTTGGTGGGTTTCTTTTAATAGTTTGCATTCAAATAGTTATATTTTAATTGTATGTTTTTTTATGGGAGTGCCTCTAGTGCATGATTTAAAATACAGATTAGATAAAAGTGTTTTTACAGCATTAATCATAGGTCTTTTTGTAGTTCTACTTTAGCTGTAGTCCTACATTATCTTAAATCGTAACTCTCTTTTATGCATCTATATACTCAATAGTAGTATTTACAAACTTATAGAGATTACAATTGTAGCTGTCAAAGTCGGGCTACATTAGCTTTAATCGAGGTATCTTTGTAGTTCTTCATTTGCTTCAAAAGTAGCTTTCTTTGTAGTTATAAATCAGCTTTAATAGCTATGCTTATTATAGTCCTACACATGCTTTA